TTTAGGAGGGAAAAAGTGAGTCTTATAGAGCAAAAAATACGGTAAGTTTTGCAGTTTATGAACATTCTTTGGCACCCGAATGTCCAATAGGGCTTCTGTGGCTTCCAAACATTTTGGAAGTTGAACAGACTTCCAGAACCGATTCCATTTGACTTCCAAGGTACGACTGCACTTCTCAACGCAGCACAGTTAAACTCTGGAATTCACTCCCACGAGAAGTAGTGATGACCATTAACTTAAATGTTTTAAAAATAGGATTCTTTTACAGAGGACAAACGTATCAGTAACCATTGCTAACTATGATGACTGAGGGTTATATTCAACTAAGTTCTACCCAGAGTAGATCAATTGAAATAATAGACTTAAATTTATAATGGCAAAGGGTTGGATTAAAGTACATGGGTGCACCAGCATTGCTGACACAATGAGACCCACTATTGCAATGTGACTTCACCACCCCTATCCCTGCCCCATACCTCCTCCAGTTGGCTCTGAGTGGTCAGGAGAACCTCCAGAACAACATGTGGTAGAAACAAGAGGAGAGATTGTTCTGTGTGGGAGGTAAAAATGCTTGTATTGATTGAACAACTACAATGTTGACTGTCTCCCAATGGGTCTATGGTCGGCAGAAGCAACATCAGACACAATCTTACGTTCTACCTCCACTAGATGTTTCGGGATACCAGTTTTGGGGAATAACAAGCAGGGAGAGCACTATCACACTCAGGTTGGCTTCCCACAGGCATCTGGTTGGCCACTGTAAGAACAGAAAATTGGACTAGATGAGTCATTGGCCTGAGAAAGTGAACATGCCAATTACATATGTAATAATTTCAGTGAGGGGTGAATTGGATCATCTATCCAACAAATTTGTGAACTGGGGCATAGTTAATTGCAGTTCTTTTTTATTAAAAAAGTCATATCATTCTTCCTTCATCTACAGAGTGATGTTTTAAAGCACAGACTGGATCGTTCATTGTTTCCTCTTCCCGTCTCTTGCTCTTTATATGCCCCATCCCTTCATTTCGACTGTATCATTCCAAAAGTCTATGTTTATCAAATTGTATAGGAATGCTCTAAGACAGAACACTACCTCAGACCCCATGCAGTCACCTATGTTTACACCAACCATCACAAATACAGATGAACACAGCAATGTTTAAGATACTGCTGAGGGCACAATAACAAGGTAAGTTACTGGCAAATTATTTCTATTCTTCAAGCACATATTTTCTCCCTAGAAAGCATCATTATTCTGCCACATAACATATTAAGATGAAATCTGCCTGCAAGCAAGAACTTTGTTCAAGGTCAAATATAAGGTATCAGAAAGTAAAATCAGGTGTTTTATTTACCGTTTACACAGGGCATGAAGCACCAGCAGAGATTTAATAGATAGGTTTTTTTAATCTTACATTTCACCTGTAATAGCACAGTTGGGCTATAAAGTTTGAAAATCTTAGCCCTAAAGTATTGTTGTGAGTTTCTGGGGGTAGGATCTATGTCTGATCCCCTTTCTGATTCCTAAATTCAATTGCTGGAATAGCCAGGCTAATGTCTTGGTGAGGTAATAGCCTAAGTATGGGTTGTTAAGGTAACAAAGGAAGTGGCTCATTGCCAGAGGACTAATGGGTGCCTCCCCTCCTCTGCTGTCTGTTGGTTAGAAAGACAAAGAGTTGAGTTGTGTGTACAAGTTAAAAGGTGCAAGCTGCAGGGTGGGCAGCTAAGAGACAGAGCCATGCTTGATTTCTTTTGGAATTCAAGGTTATGGTTATGAGAGAAGCAAGACATTCTTGGGGTGTTAATACTCTGAGCCCCTCCATCATGGGCTCAGGTAGTATAAATGTGAAAATAAACCATATATCACAAATACACCACAGTCTCTGCTGTCCCTCATTCCGAGGAAACCGAACCCTGGGTAAGTTCCTGGAACCCCTGGAATCTCGCACCCTTCAGAGATTGGGGTGATGTGCATATTGGCATTCATAACCCAAATCTGTCTCCATACCTCACTGGCATGTAGGAATGTACATATCTGTTAGTTTCTGTTCCCTCTGTTTCTAACTTTTTTAAATCTTAAATTCAATCCATCACATATCCTCATCAGTTTCAGTTAAAAAGAAAAAGCCATGAAGCTAAGTAAAAACAGTAAAATAATAACATTGATTTAGCAAGAAATATTTCTTATTTATTTTTGTTTATCTTATTTATAAAAATATTTATTCACCACTATGTCATTTAAAAAATGTCAAAGTGGTTTACAACAAAAATACATAAAACCATACTGCAAAAACTACATAAAAGATAAAAACAGGCATCAATTTACCATTGTGGAAAGATTTGCCTGCATAGGTTTGGAGGAAAAGGAACATTTTCAGTGGATATTGAAACAGAATGTGCCTGCTCAATTTCTGTTGGCAGAGTCTTCCACAATACTGGGCCAATGACACTGAAGGCTCTATTTCTTGTTACTATCAAATGAGCCTTATCAGCTCAAGAATGACCACCAGTGATGGTCCTGCAGGTGATCTGAGTGATGAAACGGGGTTCAGAAGATCCCTGAGGTACCCTGGACATAACTTGTTCAGTGCTTTGTATATCAATGTAAGCATCTTGAATGTGGCTCAGTCATTGATGGGCTGCTGGCACAGACTTTTTTTTTAATAATGATGCCACATGTTCTTGGCTAGATGCTTCCATCAGCCATCTGGCCACCACATTCTACACCAACTGAAGCCTCCACAGCAGATCCAGGGGCAGCCCCACATAAAGCACATTACTGTAATCCAGTTTTAAGGTTACCAATGCATGGACTACTGTAGTCTGGCTATCCCTGTCCGGGAACAGCCATATTTAGTGAACCAGATGGAGCTCGTTAAAGGGCACAGTGACAAAGATGTATCAAAGAGGACCTGCAAGGTACACACTTCCTCCTTCAGAGGGAGAGCATCTCCATCCAGAACATGTAACCTGTGGGAATGTTAAGGATAGTAGGGAAGGATATATTGGATAAGTATTATCCTTCTCTCATGCTAGTGAGTGATGTAGCAGAGCAAATCCTCCTCAATATACCTGGAAGCTAGTTTGCAGGTTCATTTGAATCTCTTAGTTAAATTTATTCCTGGTGTCCCCTTTGATCCCTCTCAAAAGAATAAAGACACAATAGTCTTTCTGAGTAAAGTAACAAAAAGTTTACTCACATTTCAGTTCACGAAAAGATCCCTGAAATGTAGGCTTTACTGGGTAGTTACACAATAAACAGTGAGTTTATCTCATATGGAGACTGAACTCATGTGCTGCTGGCTGAGAGCCAGCAGACAGCAAAATGACAGTAAAATTGCAGGAAAGCAGCATGGCAGCAAAAGAACAGCGAACAAGAGAAGAGAAAAAAAAAGACTGGCAAAATGGCTGTATGACTCGGCTCTTTTGTGGAGTCAGCCATACCTATCTCCCAGGTCACATGCAGGGAGAGAAGATCCAGTGGAACAGGAAGTTACACTGACTGGGTGTCCCCCTGCCTGTGCCCACTCTAGGGAAATAAGAAATTTTGCTTTTGACTGCACCAATGGATTACATCCCACATAACTTGCCTATCTCCCAGCTCAGGATTTGATTTCCTCACATCCTAGCTTTCTCATTATTGTTTGCAATGGCTGTAGTCTCTCTGCTGCTGTTTTTTGCACAAGTCTGTTTCTCCCTATATTATGCATCCTCAAGAGATTCCAGTCAACCAAGGATCACAATTTGTATGTCATAGTGCCATGATGCAATGTAGTGAACATTGGCCTGGTTTTGTCTATACCTGGGGACACAACTTTTCAAAAAAGAAACTTTTTTTTTCAAAGTTAAGAAAAGGGCAACCATAATCACAGAATCACAGACTTGTAGAGTTGGAAGGGACCACGAGGGTTATCTAGCCCCACTCCTGGCAATGGAAAAATCTTTCACCCAACATGAGGCTCAAACCCAGGACCCTGAGATTAAGTGCTACCAATTGAGCTACCCATCAAATGATCAAGGGAATGGAACAGCTCCTCTCTTCCATAAAACTAGAACTTGGGACCATCTGATAAAGCTGATGAAGGTTGGAATATTCAGAACAGATAAAAGAAAATATTCACATGGTTAAACTTTGAAATTCAGTCCCCCAAGATGATGACCACCAAATTATATGACATTAAAAGAGGATTAGACAAATTCATAAGGGTAACAGTGGCTACTCACAGCTAGCTGTGATGACTATGCTCTACCTCCACCATCAGATCCAGTATGGATAACAGCCGCAGTGGAGGAAGCTGCTCAAGCACCTGGGGCAGTGCGCCCAGGGGCAGGGTGAGCTGCCCATAGGGGCGGGGTGCACCGTGGGGCCTCTGGAGTCTGCCTGCCTCCTCTCACTCAGCCGCCCTACACACAGGGGCAGTGTGGAGCCTGTGTGTGCCCAAGCCACCGTGTCTCTCCCAGGAGAGACGCGTGGCTTGGGCGCGCTGCAGGCCCCACGGTGAGTGTCACCCAGCATTTTGTAACCCCTCCCCCAGTGGTGACACCTGGGGGGGACAGTATCAACTGCACCCCCTTCCTCTGCCCCTGAATCACAGGATCACAGGTGGGGAGAATGCAATTTTACTTATGTCCTGCCATGGGGCTTTCCACAGGAATCGGGTTAGTCACTGTGAGGATGCTAGACAGGCTGTCCTTATGGTCTTTCAGTTGCCAAACTGCTTCGTAAAATACCAATAGGAGATGCTTAGAAGCCTGCTCATGATCGTGGACCCCAATAACACAACAAGCAAGCCAATATATAAGTCCTTATACTAGCACAGCAATGGCCCCAGCAATTACTTTCTGCTGTAGTTAGTTGGGGAGAGATGTCAGCTTCAGGTTCCACAGGTTTAAAATATCAACCTGTTACACACTCAGCAGAACAGATTCCACCACACAGCTGCTTTGAGGACTGAAACATAGTATCAGGGCACAAACCACAGAGTCCTCTTTGAATTCATGTGTCAGCTCCCTCCCCCTTCTCTCTCTCTCTCTCTCTCTCTCTCTCTCTCTCTCGTGTTTGTGTGTGTGTGTGTGTGTGTCAGAGAGAGAGAGAGAGAGAGAGAGAGAGAGAGAGATGGGCTTGATCACTGGGGGTGGGGGAATATAACAGTGGGATGCAGATCAATAAGGTTTTAGAACATGTTTACAGGAGAAGAAAGCCCATTATTAAAATGCTCTCTGGATAATGCCTGCTTGATGTGTACGTGAGAGTTTTTGTGTGGCAAAGGTAGGGGATAACGAAGAGCAATTCATCTTTTTCCATTTGCAGATGCTATAGAAGGGATGACTCAATGTTTCTGGGAAATGCAGTAACAGGAAACTGTTTATTATAGAAGAGATCAAATAATAACCAATCAAAGGGAAGAGAAGAAGCATCTCTCAGAGCAGAAATTGCTTCAACTCTCTCTCTCTCTCTCTCTCTCTCTCTCTCTCTCTCTCATGGTTGCATTATTGATGGTGCCTTCCACTCCCTTCCACACAGATGGTGTAAACTTTCTAGTGAAATTTATTCTGACCTTAAGGACGCCAATGTGATATTGAGATTGATTTTCTCTCTCTTTTAAATGCATTTGGGGAACTGCATTAGCAGAGCATGAGATTCATTGGGGCGTGGGGAGTTAAGGATGAGCACTGGAACTCAAAGCTGCATGTGGGACAATAAAGAGTGTTCCACGTGAAATTGGGATTCACTTCAGTCTCAGGGAAGGCATTGCATGTGGAGTTCAGTGGATACAGCAAAGCGACTACAATAGAGGCATCCACTTCAAGAAGTACAGGAATTCTGTGCCCATCCCCAATGCTGCTGAACTCTGACTCCCATCACCCCTGACCATTGTTCGTGCTGGTTGGGGCTTGTAGGAGTTGGGATCCAACAAAATCTGAAGCACCAGAGGCACTACATTCTTGTTCTCGAGCTTGGGATACTTCAGAATTAGATTAGAACCTCATTCATGTGTTTGAGTGATTGTGGGCTTAAAGTCGAGAAGTGGCCAGGGCTTAATTAGTTGTGGCATCAACTTGCAGCACCAAGTTCTTCATGTGCAGGCAATGATTTTGTTTGCAGAAACATGCCAATCCCAACCTACAGTCTAAAGTGGTACAGTCCATACACATGAAGTGGCACACCACTACTTATAAAGTTGAGACCTGTGGGTTCACATTACAATAATAACACTGCATGCATATTCTAGATTCCAGCCAGTATGTTCCTCATTCTCATTGCTTTACAACTTATTCAATTGTTTGCATATTTGTCTGTGATAGGTTCATTATCTCCTGTTAATTGCCTTAAGCATGATAATCAAAACAAACTGGGTTGTTGGGTGCTATCATTGTACAGGAAGCACAGGACAATTGATCAGATTTCAAAGTGAGACAATTTGGTGTCATTTCAGTAGTCACAACAATGGTGTGCCATTCTGCTATTATCTTAATGACAGAACACTGCCATAATCACAAAGATCTGTGTGCTGTAATTGAATTTAAACTCCATGAAGACTTAAGAAATGCCGTTCTAAAGAAGATGGATCACATTTTAGGAGGTTCATGTTCTAGAGGGCCATATTCCCTCCTGAGCAACCTTCTGGGGGCCATGTACTAATGGTGGGTGAGGATAGAGGCAAAATATAGGTGGAGCAACACCTGTAACTCTTACTGTTGTGCAGTAGGCTATAGTTAAAAACTCAAAGTTTGAGAGACAGGCAGGCAGACTTCTATTCTTCTTTCAGGCAAACAAGAGGCAAAAGAACTTGGAGAGGATTTAGAGCAGGCCAGTGAGCAATAAGGCCTGAGAAGATGGATGTTTAGCCACAGAAAGAGGCATGGCTTAGGCATTCTCAGAGACAGAGGTGTGGAGGACTGCATTCGACTACTGGGACTGTAGCACCATACTGCTTTTGACATATGCAATAATGCTGAAATCTGTTTCACCCATGATAAAATTCTAGGGCAGAATCTAGAGAATCATTGTTGGGTAAAATGTACAAGAAATTTCAGGGGTGTTTGGCGGGGGGGCAGGGGGAGGAGGTTTTGATGGAACACAGAGCAGACCTGTATTCTTTGGCTCTACAGTGGTACCTCAGGTTAAGTACTTAATTCGTTCCGGAGGTACATTCTTAACCTGCAACTGTTCTTAACCTGAAGCACCACTTTAGCTAATGGGGCCTCCTGCTGCTGCCGCTCCGCCAGAGCCCAATTTCTGTTCTTATCCTGAAGCAAAGTTCTTAACCTGAAGCATTATTTCTGGGTTAGCGGAGTGTGTAACCTGAAGCGTATGTAACCTGAAGTGTATGTAACCCAAGGTACCACTGTACAGGGTAGGATAAAAATCAATAGATGGAAATCACCGTGAAGTAGATTTTGGCTTAACACTAGGAGAGTCTAACAGAATGAGCTGTGGAACAGATTGCCTTGGGAGATGGTCAGCGCTCCTTCGCTGGAAGTATTAAAATATAGATGAGATAGCCATCACTCAGTGGTTCTGTGGTTGCATTCTGCTTGCAGATAAAGGATAATGACATATGACCTCTATAGTTCTATATTCTCAAAATGGCTGCTCCCCTAGGCTTCAAGTTCTTAGCTAGCCATTTCTAGATATCCTAACTTCTCCGCACCCCCTCATGGAACACTGGTTGCTGCTCTAATTGTAATTCATGTAGATTAAGCAACAGGAAATGATTCTGGATGGTCATATTCAGTCTATGAAAAAGTTATAATTAGTGTGGCAGCTTGTGGAATTTCATTAATAAGATATACTGTCAGCAATCAAGCTCAATGGTGCTTCAAAGTGTTCCTTAAATCATCATTTGTAAAAGAAAGCTACCTTTATTTTGCCACCTATAATTCAACAGTCAGTGCCTTGAGTTGTAAATCTAGAATTTCAGAGTGCTGTAATATAAAATATGACAGATGAAATGAAAATGGGTCTGCCATATAAATCTGCACCTGAAATTCAGTAGTAGCCTCCAAATCTGGTAAATGTTACACACCTGTGATATACACAAATTAATCCCTTTGTGTATGTTTCAGTGTGTACACAGCTCTAAATAATTATACACATCTGGAAATGTCACTTGTACTTCACAAGCATATATATCTCCCCCATTCATATGATGATTTTCAAACTCCTCTGATGGCATTTAGGCAAGCAGCAAAAAGATTCTTTATTCTATGTGGCTATATATATATATATATATATATATATATAGTTGAAGGGTTTTAACTCTGATATTTTTGTTTGAAGGTTTTTGTTTTAATTTTTATTATTGCTGGGAGGAGCACAGAAAGAAGAAATGCCAAGGTACATTTGCATCAGCACAACCAGATACCTTCATGTGCCCCAGCTGCAACAAAACATGTCTCTCCTGTTTTAGCCTCTACAGTCACAGCAGACATAATTCTCCAATGGTTTGTCTTTACACCCAAAGGCACACTCCTCCATTGTCTCCTGAGACAGATGGATGCCAAGCAACTTTGTTTTGAATTTTCTTTTCCTTTATGTTATGTATGTGTATGTGTCTCTGAGTGCCTTTGGGAAGGAGGGAGGGTGAGAAGGGGGATGAGGAGGACTCTCAGAACCCAGCATTTGGTTGAATTTGTGGATTGTCTGACTTTCAGACTAACATTAATAGCTGCCACTGCAAATCTCCATGCACTCCCATCTCTTCAAGGCTCATCCAAATAGCATCATCATTGCTTATCTGTATGCCACCTTTTCAGAGTAAACTATGTTCAAGCCAGCTCCCAGCATCAAAATGTTATACATAGTTCACTAACACTAATAAGACATTAAAAATGTAAATGGTCATAGAAATAATAAACTAATGATAGTCACACTAGTGACATCCCCAATGATGTCACATTGATAAATATACAGTAGAATTAAACAATCCATTGATAATTCACAAGACAGCTGAACATTAAAAATGCAAGAACATAGCACAGATTTACAGCAAAAACAATGCATTGCCAAAACTAAATCTTGTCCAAGCAATAAAGATGGAAATGGACCGGAAAAGCAGGGAACAGGTCAATGAACTAAGAACTCCAAACCTCTCCATGATGTCTGATTTGTGACCTTTCTTTCTCCCTCCTGGTATATGGAATAGTTTGCCACACACTTTGCCTGTTGTACAAAGCCCTTCACAGAAAACCTCCTCACAATCACAGGTTTACTGAACATGTGAGAGAGGGGACGAACACAAACATTAGTGTGACCCTCTGACCACACCCCTGACACGTCAGATGAATACATGAAAAGGACCTCTAACATGTTGTCACATGGAAGTACCTAGTGGAGCCTTGTGCTCATTAGGCCTGGTAGGGCATAAGACAGGGAGTCCAACAGTAGGTGGAGTGGAGCAAATAGCTGACAGGCCTACAGTCAATGATAAGTGGAGCCAATGAACTCTGCTTTTACCGCCATCCTCCTCCAGTTTGAATTCCACAAAAGCAATACTAAGACAAGGAGGAGGAGGCTGACAGCTAGCGCCACCCCCTAGGCTGGATGGAAATAAGGAGATAAGCAGGTGGGAATGGCTGAAGGCAGAGCCTCGCCTGCTCTAATGGACCAGCCTACACTGGAAGTATCTATGTTCATAAGCTGTATGCATTCAGCTGAATGTTCTGATACTAGGGTGTGGTCAGCAGATAATTGAAATTGGCTCCACACCGTGGAGGGATGAGTGTGCATGTGCTTAAAACCCAACCTCATGTTCTTCTGTACCCCATGAATCTCGAGTCTGCTGTGCTGTTTTACATGTACACATGCGCGTCCTGACACAAAGAAATCCACATGCAGTGGAAGAAGATGCTTCAGGAACAGATTTTCCTTCTACTCTGCTACTCACCTTGGGAAGGACAATGTGGTCAGCAGGCTATGGGCTAGAAATCTGCATTTGGTTTTACTGTTTCCCTCTCAGTTGTACTCAATAATGTTTATTGCTCTCCCCAGAACAGGGAAACGTGGCAGTCATTCCTCAAGCTTTCAGCTGTTTTATTGTGCTCAGGACAGCCACATGGTAAATATATGGGCTATTCATTTTGAGCTGCACTGCAAAATTTTCAGTTGGTTGTACTGTTTGTTTCTGTCTA